CTTTCTGTGGAGAGACAGTGTAAAGGATAGCAGTTTACACGAGATGCCAACATATCATCATTATCATCACCGTCACCCTTATCGTCATCGTCATCGTCATCGCCATCATTATCATCATCATCCTCATCCTCATCGTCATCCTCACCCGGCCTGTCCGTATAATCTCTCATATGGTGATCCTACCTATCACGTAAACGTGGTCAAATTAAAGAGAGATTATGTCGGCAGGTGGGTTACCTTACGTACCCGGGGTCCCCCACCTCCATATAAACAGGCCCTCAGTACCAGGATGGGCTTTTGAAGGAGGACCAAAACACTATGCTAAAGCGCAAGAAACACATTGCGGCAGGACAAAAAGCTCACATTTAAAAGGGTAATGTCCTTAGATGGTCGTCATACCCCAAAACGTTTCTTGCTTCCCAGCGGGGCGGTTTTGTACCACATGACTGACCATCTGCAAAGGTGCGCCGTATATGGCGAAATTTTCTTACGGTTGGTTTCACGCTGAAAGTCTGGAACTAAACCTGAGTACGTTTTACCCAAACGACAGAATGGGGCACTATACAAAAACGAAAGTCACGTGGTTTGGATCCGCTATAGAGTGCTCTAGAGTACCTCTAACTTTTCGCTTGATAAATAAACAAGAAGACGTTACATGTAACTATCATACCGGAAACAGTAGACGAGTCCAGCGGCAAGGACCACCAGAAAAAATACACCACACGACGCAATTATGATTAGATTCTTTCCAGACAACAATGTAGCGCTGGAATCATCCTCTTCTAGTTTTACTGTGTCTTCAGCAGCGATGATTTGTCTTTTTCTCCGACGACGTCTTCCTCCGTCAGGTTTATACTCCAACTGGACTGCATGCTGATTCCATCTCAGCCTGGACGGATGAAATTCCTGGATACTGTAGTCACCGTCACTGTCAGACATTGTTTCAGATTCAGTGGTCGGCGAAAAAAAATGTTCTCTGTTCAGATTTTCACGTCCGTTTAAGAGCTGGCCGTGAGTAGATGATTGGCTTGTTTTCTTCTGAAAAGCTTCCACTTCTGCTTTATCAATGACACCTGCAACGGTTGGTAGAAAAAGTGTTAGAAATAAAGGAAAAAAAACTGCTCCCAATTTACCGCAAGCGCCGTAAACTATTGTTTGCTCCAGAATGGAGCGGATCTTAAACTGCCAATATCAGAGTTATTTGAGCGCTATTTGTTTGTCAGATAAGCCAGTGACCAGTCCTGGGCTTTAAGGTCTCGTTTTCCAAAAATAACAGTTTGAGTCTCGACTACTTATGAAGAGAACATCGTGAACGTAATGAAACGCGGAACGAAACATCACAAGCTTGCGTGTTTCTCTTCTTGCCAAAGTTGCGGGCTGACTTTCTCGGCCTCTAACAATGGTTTTGAATTGTGGCAAAATTTAACACCAACGTAGGTCTTACCTTTGCAAAGTGCACTGGAAAGAAGCAAAACTAGTAGAAACAACACAGGTTTTTTTCTCTCCATTTCTTTCTCAAATAAGCGCATGTATCAAATGCTACTAAAGCATTGAAAGTTTTAACAACTTACGTCACAATTATACCTTTATTGTTCGATGGCGCGCTTATTTCAGCGCGCGCGTGCTGCTGTCGGTCGATGTCGTGGAAACGAGGTTGGTCATCGGTAACGCGGCTTAACTTAGCTTTCTATGAATCTTCCCCACTTTTTTTAGCTAACATTCGTCTTTTTTTTGTAAACAGTCATCGTTTGCCATGAGGACAAGACGCTGTCATCAGATCTTCAACAAGGCAACGTAAGTTTTGATATCTAACAGAAAATTACCATCCTTTTCTTTGATGGGTCTACATAATTGTCAACATTGTTTTTGTGTTTTCTTTCTCCCTTTCCAGCTCGCGGGATAATACCCTAAAGAGGTTCCTTGAGGTGAGTTGTTGGAATCTTCCTTTTTGTGAAGTTTAAAAAAATTGTATACTGGAAACGAAGAAGTGAAAATTGTTCCGGAATATTTCGGCTGAATCGATCAGCTATTATTATCCAAAGGTGCGTGGTTGTATAGCACTCACGTGACCTTAGGACTGTTGCATGACAAGAGAACTGTATCGTAGATATTCTTTGGCTGCAGATTCCCATCGCTGTTAACAAAGAGTCTTGTGTGAAAATCATCTCACCGAGAGGAACTAGGCGATCTGTTAATCACAATTTGCCTTGTTTTTCTTTCTTTTTTAGGACGCTACAAGGCTGACAGACAACTTTCTTGATGTATGCAACAAGGATGTGCCCAAAGGTCCCTCTAAAGACAAGCTCAGTATGAGTCATGATTTTGTCGTGTTTAAGAGACTCGTATCTAACCCGTAAGTTATTACATCTGGTACTATTAAAAGTTTAAAATAGATGATATTGAACGAGCTGTGAGTGGAAATTTACTTAAATTCAATAAACGAGATGCCCGCTCCTATTCTGTGTTTTGTGATTATTTAGATTAGTTACAAAATATTGTATAATCTTTTCAGTGTGATTAGAATATAAAGTTCATTTTCTAGACAGGTCGGTGTTTAAAATTTGTGCAATTTTCACAAGGACCGCCTTATAAAGAATAATTCAACACATGAAAATCACCTACAATTAATTAATTAACAGAAGTTCACTAATACCTTTTTGTTTTCAGAAATTTCAGTCCCATAGTTGTTCCACTCCAGTCCTCCATGACCGTCACGCTACCTTCAGGCGCCGGAAGTCACCATGACCACAATCCTTTCCCAGGCTCCTTGGCTTGTATTATTGGTTTTGAGGATACGGTCAGTTCACATTTCTTTAAAACATGTTATTGGGTTGTGATACTTTGCGTACGGTTGTCGATAGCGACAACTTTTCCTTCCTGAGAATAAGTTTATTTTATTTTCTTAACTAAATAAACAATACGTGCTTATTGATGCAAGAAAGGTGTTTCTTTTGCGTCAGCTGGTTTAAGGCCTGGAACCTAGAAATCTTAGGGGGTCGGAAATTCGGAAAACCCTTGGAAGATCCGATCGCTTGCGCGGAGCTTCCGAGCGTCCCCGAAGATTTCTCGGTTCCAGACCTCGCACCAGCTGACCGAAAAATTTAAACTGGTTGTCAAAGAAAGCACATTTTATGAAGTAAATAGCGAGTGATTTTGTTGTTGTTGTTGTTGTAAGGAAAGGACACAAGTTAGATTCAAGTTTGAAACGTGGATATCACGTAACGTGGATATCAACTGTTCTTATCACTGTTTTATAGTTTATCTTAAATTTCCAGGTTATAACTTGTTTGTTTATTTACTTATCCATTCATTTTTAATTTTGAAATTTCCAGGTTGATGTTTTACAGTCTCTTCAGAAACCAAAGAAGATTACTATCAAAGGCAGTGATGGGAAGACCTACACCATGATGTGCAAACCTAAGGTTAGTTCTTTCTGTGATCAGCAAATTATTTTCCCTTTGAGTAAAAGTGCATACTCGTGTGGGTACGATACATGACGGAGTAGTCATGGCCTCGCGCTTAAAATCCCCGGAGTTTCAGTGTTGGAAAACCTCTGGCACCACTACCGCTGGATTTTTTTTCTCGGTTGCCTTAGTTTAACTTCTCAGCCATCCTTGTAAATAGCCAATTGTCTGCCTCCTGCGGGAAATGTTTAATCTCGTTATGTTCCCTTTGAAATGTTTGTTTTAATAAAGCGTTTCACATTGACGCTGGTTACAACCAACGGTTAGGGAGTGCAAGTGTGCTCAATGTGACAAATCACTCTAGCTCCAACGCTTTGCTTTGCGTAAGTTTCCTTTGTTAGAAGGTGTAAGCGCCCGTGATCATATTACGTGTCATCAGCCTTTTTGGTTCTATGCATTCCATTCACTCTCAAGTGACGTCCAAACGGCTGCGTGGGCGCATGCGTAATAGCGACCTGGCCCCAGCTGTTTAAAAGATGGGTAGCGCTATTCGATGGATAAATCTCTATCTACCGGATAACGCAATTGGTTTCCCTTATACTAGATAACGCTATCCATTAACCGTGGCCTGTAGATTAGGATTACAAGCTCCTCTTGTCGCCAGCAATTTTTAAGCAAGTATGTTAGTAGAAGCAACGGTAAATCTTTAGTTGTTGTCGCAAACATTTATTTATCCCGCACTGTCTTAACAGAGGAGGAAAACCTGTATATTTGTCTCTTGTAGGACGACCTTAGGAAAGACTCGAGAACGATGGAGTTCAATGCTCTTGTAAACAAGGTTCGACATATTTTGTTTAGCACGTTTTAATGCTCGGGGTCTGCTTTCGACTGTTTCACTTTTCGTTTTACAGTCTAGATAAACATCTAAACATTTTGCTCTAAAACATTGTCAGTAACACATATTGACCGTTGTAGATATTCGCCCGGGACGGGAAGGGACACTGTCCTGTTGCTTTATGGGACTGTACTAATCTCGTACCCAGATCTCACTCTGTCTTACGCGGGAGATCTGTGTACGAGATTAGGAATATACATGTGAAATACATGTTTTGGCGGACGGATTTTTACCCTGTTTCCTTCGCAACTCCGTACTAGACAATGAAATCAGCGATAGCACCCACAAAATATTCCCATTGTGCAATTCGACACGGCACTCACCTAGTCCCACGCTTAAACTGCCAATGGAATTTTTCTTTTTTGGATTAGGGAAGGGGGGATATGGATGGAGGCGGGGGGGGGGAGCGGTTATATTTCTACTTTTGTACGAATATTAATAAACCAATGCGAGATGAACTTTTGGTACTTGAGAACCGACAAAACTGATATGGCTCAATTCCTTCTAGTGTCTGCGAAAAGATCCTGAATCCCGAAGAAGGCAACTTCATATCCGTACTTATGTAAGTCTTTTAGTGCTGAACTAGATTTTGGAAGGGTACACACTCTAGACATCTTGCTAATGAACAGTGACTAACCCTAGATATTTGCAGAAGCAACAGTTATTTATCGCCTAACCACTGGAAGTGTGTCCTTACGTAGATCTGGCTGACTCCAAATTAGTGCTGAGAGCCGGCTACGATTTCATAATCGATCACCCCAGTCAGAAATAATCGGATTAACTCAATCGATCGATCATAGATAACAATAGGAAAGAGCTCTTAGAAGTCCATTCATTTTTCATCTGTGATCAAACCAAAGTAATTTAAACTTTTGATTTCTTTAGCACACGACAAAAACACACGAAACATATCAAAAAAGGGTTGAACCAACGGATTAAAGTGTCATCAGGCTTCCTTTGAAAAGACAACACACCAGTTTCAAAAATGTATTTTTTATTTTTCTGGAATACTCGATTGATTATTCCCCATAATCGATTATTGCGGCGCATAAGGTTTTCGATCAGCGACCGATTATAATCTATGATCGGCACACAACTACTCCAAATGGCGTTAGATTTTTTAAAATAAGTTTACTCGAACGCACGTAAAAGGCTTTGATAGCTCTCTTATTGTCTTATTATTTGATTGTGTTTTCTTTTCAGGCGGTGATTCCTTTGAATGAGGAATGTGGTCTGTTGGAATGGGTACAGAACACACATGGATTGAGAAATATTCTCACTAAAATTTACAAGTATGTGTTGTTTTTGTCTTGTTTCTTTGTTTCTACAGTGTTTCAGTTAAGTGTTTTTGTAAGCATACCGCATCAGGGGTATTATTAAACAATTATTGGATGAGGTTGAGCATGATATCATGAATTATCAAAACCGAGGTCTGTGTTATCTGCCGAAGCCGAAGGCTGAGGCAGATAATACAGACACGAGGTTTTGAGAATTTATGATATCATGCGAAAACCAAATTCAATAATTGTTTTATTATACATTTTTTAACCAATAGACAAAAGAAGACATTCAGCCATTCTGTTTCTGAGGAGAACACTCCAAGGGGCTTGGTAACCAGGCAGACGTTGAACTTGACATGATAAATGCAATATCTGCAGCAGATATTGCATTTATCATGTCAAGTTCACAAGCTATTGTGAATTGATTGAATGCTCTCGACCAATCAGATTTTTCATAGTGAGTCTGATGTATAATAATGACAATTATTGGACGAGGTCGAGCAGAATATCGTGATTTGTCAGTGGCGGGCAGATCAGATCAATTATTTACGGCAGCCGTAAGCTGTGGCAAGTAATTGATCTGCGAGACACTGACAAATCGCGATATTTTGCGGCAACCGAGTGCAGTAATTGTTTTACCATCCACTCACCGAGTTTGGGTTTTAATGAGTATATTCAGGAAGCGAAGCGATCTGCCATTTTCACGAAAGAGCAGTCTTAAGAAGGAGGAAAGCGTGGTTTCATATACGCCTGAGCAGAATGTTATTTGCAGCCAAATCGTTGGACGACATTGAGTATGAGCAGACCATTATTTGTTGGCAGTTATTTGCAGGTCACGTGGTGGGCTCTAGGCCAATGAAAAGGAAGAAAAATTTGCATCGAATAGTAAAAAGCGTTATGCCGAATAGTATAGCTACGACCGCTTCCTTTAGACAATGAAAACTTGTTATTCCACAGCGCGCGGAGATGTACTGAAGATACGGAACTGTTAGTTTTGATTTGTGTACATCACACATTTCTTTTTTTTTTAGATCTTTACCTCTTCCCTTTTTATCATTGTTATTTTTTTTAATGTTTACAGGGAGAAAAACATGTACACTAGAGGGGCTGAAGTAAAAAAATTAATTGACAGAGCGGGAAACAAACTGGAGTAAGCTGAACATTAGTTATTCTAGTTGAAGGTTTTGTGTATTTGTCGGTGCTGTCGTCGTTGTTTTAATAGGGGTTTCCGGTAGTCTTTGTAGTATTAACGGTCGGGTCATAGACACCCCACTCTTTGTAAAGTTCTTTTTTTTGTCTTGTTTTCTAGCGTTATGTTCTTCATTGCTATGATTTATATATGTTTTTTCTTTATTATTCTAGGGACAAAGTGCGCGTGTTCTTGAACGAAATTCTACCAAGGTATGCGAATAACTCCAGCTGGTAGTCAGAGCGGGACTTAAAGCCGGCCTGAGTTCTAACCAGTCTGGCAGACATTTGTGTGATATGTATAATGCGAATATGGTATTCTGTATCGTGAAGTTTGAGTAACAGTGACTTTTTTCTTCCTCAGACATCCTTCAGTTTTTCATGAGTGGTTCTTAAAGACTTTCCCGAATCCAACTTCATGGTAACTATCGAGAAACACTTACGGCTTCGGCCGACTTACTGGAGAAAATTGCTGTCATTTTTGTTTTATTCTAATCGGAGTGCTTGGTAACACCTGATTTATGCGGTTGCGTTATAACTTATCAGTTTCCAGGGCTAGTTGTACCCAGTTTTGGCGAAGTTTGCTCTTATTGCTTTTGTACAGTGCAACCAACCGTCTGTTCCTCTACAGGTACATGAGCCGCCTGGCATACTGCCGTACCTCAGCGGTCATGTGTATGGTGGGTTATATCCTTGGCCTTGGTGATCGCCATGGGGAAAACATTTTGTTTGACGCTAAGTGTGGAGACTGTGTACATGTAGACTTCAACTGTCTCTTTAAAAAGGTCAGTAATGAGTCCAAAGGAGGGAGTCTACCAAAACACAATTTAAAACTCTATCCTAAAGGGTACATTGAAAAGTTTGAGCCTTTCGCAAAATGATTGTTACAAGTCACTTATCATCTATTATTCAGTCTTTAATTTTCAGTATGAACATGTATAGTTTTTTTTTAAATTTATCATTGTTTTCCAGGGAGAAACCTTTGACTGTCCAGAGCGAGTGCCATTTCGACTGACGCACAACATTGTTAACGCAATGGTGAGTAAACGTTTGAGCGAAATAAAGTATACTTGGTCTGCATCTTAAAAAGCAAGTTGTGTTAATTCCTTTTGTTATTCAACTTCACTCAGTAGAATACTGTACATACAAAAAACACCCAGTATAAGTACAACTATCTGACTCTATTTGTACCCCAAAAAACCGGTTGGACAGCTTTTCTACAAACTTCGCACATGGCAGAAATGCATCGTTTCCCGATGAAAATAAAGAATTGGAGCCAAATTGTAAGCTTGAATAAAACTGAGTTTCTAGAGAGACGTCGCCTGAACAACAATGAAAGTTCGACATTCATTAGAATTTTTTACAACATGCAAACTTTACAAGCTCAAAAAACAACAGGGAAATTGAAAACAGACCTGATCGTGTTTAATAGAGATATGGTGATGGTGGAACTCCGTGAAACAAAAGACGTCCATTAAAGAAGAAAATCTCCGCTGACGAACTGAACAGTCTTATCAGTCTAATTTCTCTACTATGGGAGGAGACTACACATGGTAGACTCTAGACGTTCTCCAAAGAATTTTTGTTGTTGTTAATCCTCGCGAAGTTGAGGTCTTAAGGCTCTTGTAGCTCCTTGAAACGTCTTGAATTCGTGGAAGATTTTTCGTCTTTCCATCGCAATTTGCTCTGCTTAGTTTTTCTACTAGCTGTCAGTTTTAGTAAAAACTGGAAGACCATCGCAAGCGTGTTTTCATTGCCGTCATCACTCTATCAGCATCTTCATTGTTATCTACATGTTTAAAATAAATGAGTCAGAAGGAATAAATAAATAAATTCGTATGCTGGTTAAATATAGGGTGAAAGTAATTCAGCTGGTGATATTGAAAACGAACGTAATTCCAAATATCAAGTTCCTTAAGGCACGGAAATGACAATTTGTATTTTGATCGTTACTCTGATTGACGGTCCACGTAGCGCTTAGTCTCCTTAGCAGCCGCTCGGGCTGGAGTCAGACAATGCTCCTTTCCCCCATCACGCGGGGAAGTGCGGCTGCGAAGGAGACTACGTAGTATTGAAAAATGAGTCTGGTTTTCAGTTGAGGCATTGGATTTTTTTCTTTTTTGGATAAAGGGTCCTCTTGGCTGTGAAGGTGATTTCCGGCGTTCTTGTGAAGTAACGCTCAGACTTCTAAGGAATCAGTGTGATTCATTACTAACGTAAGTCAATGTCTTAAGCAAGGTGCAATGGAAGCGGTCGTTTTCATCACGTCATCCTCATCATCATCCTCATCATCATCATCATCATCATCATCATCATCATCATCATCATCATCATCATATACAGGAGGCAGCGTGGCCGCTTGGTCAGCGCGTCGGACTCGCAATCCGGCGGTCCCGGGTTCGAGTACTGCTCTGGCCACTTGCCGGATTTGTTCTCGGTAGTCCCGAGTTCAAATCCTCGGCTGCGCTTGTAGATAGCAATGTAGTTGCCTCCTGCCAGTTAGGATTTTTAATCCCGTTATGTTGTATTTTAGTAATTTGTTTCTAACGATTTAAGTGGAGTGCCTGGAAAGTAACTTTTCTGGATAAGCTAAGTGCACTTTCCACTATAAACAAGCCTTTAAACCTTTAAACGTTAATTATCATCATCGTTATCATCATCGTCATAATTATCGTCATCATCATTTGTTTGCCTTGTTTCAATACGATCTTCAGTATGATCTTGCAATGATCTTGCAAACATGGGAATTCTGAAGTTCAAAAGCCAACTGACGATTACGTTTTTCGCTGCCGTCAATCATCTTAACGGACCTCGTAGGAAACAAAACTTTACTTTAACGGGTTCAAAAGGTCATAGATTGTGATATGTGATGGGTGGATTTCAATCCGTTTTGTGTGTTTCTCTGTTTCAAGGTTCGTTGCTTGTGATCGTAATTATGATTGACGGCAGCGAAAAACGCAATTGTGAAGGCGGCTTTTGAACTTTAGAGTTCGCATGTTTGTGAAAAGCGCAGTTATTCTGCTATGGGACAGTAAGTTCAAAATGATGGGAATGTTATTTTAGGTCCTGCACGGTCGAATCAAAGTTTATTTATTTATTACACAGTGTTCTTCGAACATTCATTTACGATCCTCTTGTGGAGTGGCAGAAAACAAGAGGGAGAGAGTTACTGGCCGAAGCTTCTAAGAACAAAGAAACTGGAGAAGTCACGAATGAGGAAGTAAGTATTGATCCTGGTGCGCATAGAAGTAACAATTATTACTGCCGTTTATAATATCGCCATTAGGTCATAGACCTTGTTGCGGTTTTCGACGGCATCTTGACGAGTAGGCAAACGTGTGAGAAATTTTTGGGGCGTACCTGTCCTAAAATTTCTCCAGAGGCTTGCTTTAGATTTTCCATATATTTGTCTGTAATTTTTCCGGGGCCTTTCTTACAGACAAATGTATAGAAAATTAAAAAAAGTGGTTCTAGGTCTTCTACGGCATGTAACGCCCTCAATTTTTTTCAGTAGCATCCTTAAGAATGAAGCTTTAGTCTACAATTTATTTTTTTTTTTTTTCAGAACAGCCGTTTTACGTAAGTTATTGGACATTAGATTCTCATACAAACACTATAATTTCTCACGCGTCGAAAAGACAGCGTCGAAAACCGTGACATCGTCTATTTTTGTCATAGATTTTAAGCGCTTTGGTCAATTAGTGGAGTTAGCGCTATATAAATTATGTTATTATTTATTATAGTAACTTACAGTGTATCTATGGCAGCGTTCACACTTAGTTCTCGACACGGTGCCCGATTAGGGTCCTCGCTGGGAGATCGATTTAGGTTTCTGGGAAACTGCTCACCTACCCCTCCCCTGAGCCAACATTTTGCCCGACACAAGAAGTAAGCGTTGTTGGCTTAGAGGAGGGGTAGGTGGGTACGCGATCTCAAATCGGAAACTAACGGCGGTTTCGTGGTGATTGCTTAGTGATCTCATGGAGATTTTCAAATAACTATGCCGACAGAGTATTCAATTATGCGTGTTTGTCATGTAGCACGGTCCAATCAAATTGTTTTTTCATTCCTTTAAACGAATTATCGCTTTCTTCGTCGATATTTACTTATCATGGTGTTTAGAAGTCTTAAGTTATGCTACTTAAATAAGTATTGCGTCTTCCACCCTGTATTGATAAGAAGTTCCTCTTGTAAAAACTCCGTAAGATTCCAAAAGCTTTCTCTGTGAATTGCTAACTTACCCCGTTATTATTTTGAGTACAGGGCCCTGTTCACAACACGCAAAATTCTGTCAAAAGGAAGCCATGTCTAGTGCGAACGATTTTTTTCACCGACCAAAACTTCTCAACTGTCACCTAAGTTCAAAGATGCCGTCGAGAAGATTTGGAGGGCTACATTTTTTTTTTGTTTTGTTTTGTTTTGTCAGGCGACAAATTCCTATTTTCCTTGATATCTTTCCTTAATTGGGTCACCTTCTTTTGCGAACATGACCAATTAAAGTTCCTTTAATTGACGTTTCTGGGTAGACGAAAAAGTTCGCTTGTCTCAGATGCGAACGAGGTTGCAAAAACAAAAAATTGGTGCTTACAAAATTTTCAAATTTTTTGCAGACGCCAAACTTTTTTTTTTTTTTTTTGTAGTAGTAGTAGTAGTAGTAGTAGTGCGAACAGGGCCTATGACTAAAGGTATCCTGTTTACCTAGGGTGTGAAGATATTGAAAGATATCGAGAAGCGATTTAAAGGTTTTGAGGGAAGCAACAGGATCATGATACCTCTGTCAATAGAGGGACATGTTCATTATCTTATCAATGTGAGTTTTAGTTTCCTTTTTTTCATTATTATTATTATTATCATTACTATTACTATTATAACTATTAACTATCACTATCAACTATTACTATTAACTATTACTATTACTTGGCTACTCTCTTATGTACAATTTACAGTTTCATTCATAGCATTTGCGCTTGAAAGTGGGTCGGTTTTGTGTCGAATTCCACTATGGGATTGTGTGGTGGTGAGTGGGATGCGGGATGGGGGGATGGAAATTTTGACCCGTTTATCTGCGCAGCCTCCCCAAAACAGTCCCGCAGTCCAACTCGACTAAAATATTTTTTGTTGTTCTTCAGCACGATGACCGCACGTGACATTTGTGTAATAGATCTATTCTTACTTGCTCGCTTAATGTCACCCTATCACGTACCTTTCACATGTCCCTGTACTTTTACACAGCATAGTTGTTGGCTTCACACTAGAAGCGAAGTTAATTTCAAGTAAGTACTTGATTCAAGTGCTCTTGGAAATCTTAAGTCGCTCTGTAGAAAACATGGCTCCACACTTGTTGACAAAATATATTACTTGAAGTAAATGCTGTTAATAGGGAGATTAAGATTATTCACGTTTACGGCAAACGAGAAACGTCAGATTCAAGTTGAGAATTTCTCAGAATAGAAAATAAGCAGATAAAAACTGCCCAGAACAATTCCTGTGGTTAAAACTGGCGTGAAACTACTTATTTTTGTGTACAAGTAATAAACAGTAAACGACAATTAAGGGGAAAACTTGGTCACGTGGTACAAATTCCCGTTTGCCGTTTGGCGTAAACGTGAATCTCAATCTCTCCGTTCTTGGAACCGCTGCACGTGCACATCGTGCACATGGCTTCCATTTCTTATTGGTCGTGTGTTCTCAAGTGTGGTGTAGCCCATACTTGGGGGCCAACTTCGGCTTCTTTGAACTACGAACGTTTCCATGGTGACCAAGTAAAGTTGAAGTCGGTACATTTTGTCGCTCTCACACTTAAAGAAGGTTCCAAGTACACTTACATTATATGTGAAGCTCTAGTGTGAAGCCATTAAGTATAACAACGTTTTACCGTATCACGTGAATGTCAAAAAAGTAGAAGGGTGTTCACTGAGTGAGCACATCGTATTCTTTACATGTGACAGGCTAACCTCTCTTTTTATTTCCGATCTTTGCTTCTATTGGTTTTTGCAGGAAGCCACAAGTGCTGAAAACTTGAGTCGCATGTACATTGGCTGGGCGCCGTACCTGTAAATTGAGAGGGAAGCAAATTAGTGGCCCAAGGAATTCTTAAAGCTGTTAGAGTTACTCTTTGCGTTGACTTTTATAAACAAGCGCTAGAGAGTAGACAACATTACCGAAACAGGATACATCTCAGTGTGCCAAATAAATAAGTTACCTTATTTGCGTTTGTTTGTTCGTTTGGTTATTTGGTCAGTCTTTTGAAGTAGTCAATTTCGAAAAACTCATCCAAAACAAGGAACAAACAAGAGGAGAACTCAGTCTTCGGGCGCTTACCTGTCATTTTCAATATGACGTATTAGCCTTCCCGAAATGTTTTACTAAAACCCCTTAGTTACAGCCGCGCAAGAAATAAACTGACCTGGCTGGATAGCCTGTGCACAGACCCTCCCCTCCCCTGAGGGGGGGTCCTTATGAATAGTGGAATTCTCCTGGTCTAGCTAGTCAGTTTTGACAAATGGTAAACTCCCTCAGTCTCTGACCAATTGCAAAAATAAGTCCCCCTTCAACACCGCCCGCTTTCCTTAGAAAAACTGAATTTGCGTCTTGTTTAGAGGGTCTGAATGGGGGTACCTCGAAATCACTAAACACTTCATGTTTTGGCTTACTTGCAACATTGAAACAGTTAAATTTTAGGCATTTTAACACTAACAGTACAAAATTCTTTGAAACAGTAAATTTTTTCCAGAAAGAAGCAAAAACGGCTCCAAAAAGGACAATGTCATTTTGTTTAGTATATAGAGGGGTTCTCGGCCAATTTACGGCAATTTATTTCAGATTTCTGAAGTCTACCGAAGATTCCCGAAGACGACCGAAGATTTTCGAAGACTAATGAAGAGGCTCGACCATTGCCAAAGGTGTCGGAAGAACCCTCCAGACACTTAACAGTACTTTCTTCGGAAACAGCAAACATTAAAAAAATGGCCAATTTAACAGGAAACTCTAAAAATTATGGGCAAATAACACTAAACACTAAACCCCATTCAGACCCTCTGTTAACTGTACTCTTCGTCCAGTATACAATCAACTCCCTTTATACCCAATACCGGACGCTGTAAGAACCTCTTATCAGCGCGAGTCGGTAATAGTGGGACTCTATTTCAGTCAAACGTCTGCAACATTTTTCTGCCTGGGATTTAGCTGCTGTTCGTATTTCGGGCTGTGATAATACGGCAAGAGTTGACTGTAACAAGTTTATAGGATCTAATGTTTTCTCTACCTTAAACGAAAACGGAATCGTGTGAGCGGCTATGTTTGATTAAGGATTCTTTTGGTCACTGACTAATGAGTTTTCTTAAGAATGTTTGATAAATTATTCATTTATTGTGGCTGTAGCGACACTGCAGGAAAAGAATTTAATAGTTTAAACTGAAAAAGATCTGCCCTCATTTGACTCTGAGCATCTCATTTCTCAATCATTGAGGGCTTAAGTTTTTAAACCGGCGCTACACTGATTAATTTTAAATGCAAAATTACTTTTATTGAGATCTAACTAGAATAATGTGTTGTTAGAAACAATGAGAGCGATCAGGTCTTTTCAATATGCGGCATGTTTTTAATGTTTTGTCTCTCTTAATCTCACCGATATTGGGTCAGTCTTTTCGATATCTCTGTTCCAATTCTCTTTGTAGGGAACTTGTAGAGACCTTTAAAATAATTGACCAAACTAAAATACGGCCCTGTAATTCAGTTTTTTGCGAGAAGGACGTACAAATCAAAGTTTTTATAACACTTGTTTTTGAGACTTATGAGCGATACATAAACAACGTTAGAATGTAGAGGCCGTTGACTCAAAGCATCACATTAGCTTACATGCTAAGACGATGTGAACAAAAAGTAAGTTATTTTGTTTGAAAGAGATTCAGTTGAATAACCCAGATTCGTTTAGACACAAGCTAAGCACTTACGAGATGATTGGGGGTAGTGAACTGGATGGGAAAAGTTGCTAACTGCATGGAGCCTAACTTGTTTGTTTACCAACGTTCAGCTGAACGTAGGGGATAATCGTGTCCTAATTAGTAATTATACTTAAATGGAAAGTTCTGTTTTAATTTCATCGATATTGGGTCATTCTTTGAACTGTACAATTATTTTCTTTATTATTTCTGTTTTACAAGGAACATACTTTCAAAAACATAAAAAACAGGCCATTGTAGTATTTGCAGTTCGATGATAGTCGACGATATAAGTGAACTCGAAGCATCTCACATTTATTAGACCTATAGCAGAAAATCGCTATATATCTTTTTCGAAAAGATTAGCCGAGCCTGCTGTTATTCTCCCGAGTCAATGAGGAGAAAATAAACTTGATCGAACAAAATCATTAAAAAAAGATCAATTGAAAAATCATTTTGATCAAACCAAAAATAAGACCTTGCGGTTTAAATTATCTACTTTTAAATAAAGGCCATGATAGGAGCTGCACTTTGATAGTTGATCGGCCAGCGTGCAAGCTTCGCTTGCTAGCCTAGAGTGGGGTGAAGAGAAAACGTTGCTTTCCCCTTTCCTCTCTCCCATCCCCCTAAATTTTGAATCAAACATTATATTTGAACAAATAGAAATTATTTAGTCAGTCAGTGTATGAAAGATTCAGTCGGCTGAAGCAGATCAGTTTGTGCCTTTTCAAGAAAAGAAAGACACGGTGCGTATGTTAGCGATTGCATTATAAACTTGTTATGGGAAGCAACGGAGCATAACTTGTTTTGTTGGCTTTGCGGTATTACCCTTGCATAAAATTATTTAAAAATCTAATTGATAATCTTCGTGAGTGTTTGGGCTTTACGGTATTGCGGGATTGACCTATTTTTCAAGCAGTTTTTCGGTAATTTATTTTAAATGAGCGTTATTTAGGTATGATCTAGCCCTAGTTACGGTATGCGGTTTTTCATCCTTTTGGCTGACGGTATTTGGTAAAAGATCCTTCACGGTATGCAGTACCCTTCGTTTGCAAAGAATATGCAACAAAAAACACAGCAAACCCATACAGGATAAAAGTTACTTAATATTTTTAAGTCCTTAGATAAAATGGTAAATGATTATAATATACACGATTTCTGACAGTTAATCTGCAATAAAATTGTTTTTGCATTTAATGACCGGGCATTTCGATCGTTGTGCCAATAAACTCGAGGTCTTCTGATCACTTTCTCTGGCAATGGTTAAGGTTGATTTCTCAAGGTGCGGCATACATGCTTGAGATAATCAAAAACGCGAGATGGATACAACTTTACTTAAGCATGAGCGATCATAAATGAGGTATCGGCATTTCGTCGATTTTCGACACGGTCTTTCGGTATTTGGGAATTTTTGTTACGGTATTGCTGTATTAGGCAACCCCAAATGTCCCCCTCATTTTGTCTCAAAAAAGATTTAGTTGAATAAACCAGTAGATTTGTCTGTCCTCGGAAGGCTTTCAGACACAAGCAAGTACGGGATAATAAACTGGACTGGAAAAATTCATTGGGGCTAACTTGATTTTGTTCACCAATCTAGGTCTCTTTTAATTTAATCGATTGCCGCATGGGTCATTGAATGTCATGTAATTTTTGTTTTGCAAAGAACCAGTACTTTTGATAACAGAGAAAGCTCATTAAAATATCTGAAGGCCGGTTATTTGAACTCAAAGCATCTCACATTTTTCAGACCTATGACAGAAAATGGCTTTCTTGTTCAAAAAGATTAGCCAGCTGTTTACCCGAGTCAATGATGAACAACGAACAACGTGCATGCGGACGTCGACAAAGCTTTTAAGCTATTAAAACTCTCTGTCTGTCACCCGCATTAACTTAGCCTTTGACAAACATCATTTTTAATCACTAAAACCCAGAAAAAATCTTGTGATTTAAATTGATGAGATGTACAATTTGATAGTTAATTATTAGCCAGAGAGCAAGCTCTAGCCTAAAATGGGGGTGAAAAGAAAACGCTACTTTATCTCCCTCCCGTGCCACGTTCTCTCCATCTTACAAATTTTCAGGGGCACCCAAGGAGAATATAGTTCAAAACAACTTGAACATAGCATTGTTAAACGTATTTTAGTATTTAAAAGGTAGATATACGCATATTTTTATCCCCTAAAAATTTTTCCACCTGTTCGGATCTCGTAGCTGAAAGTCTAGTGATCCGAAAATTATAGGGATCAAAACTTACCTTTCGAAAATTTCAGCCAGAAAAAGGCTCCCGAAAATTCTAGGTGACCATTTTAGGGTAAAAATCCGTTAAAAATTGGCAATTATACAGTTTTTTAGGTGTTCGAAAATCCTAGGAGAGACAGGCAAGCAAGAAATTTTACTAAAATGTTCCGAAAATTCTAGATCTCAAATCGTCTTCCGAACAGATATTTTTCCGAAAACTACATCTGTGTCTTCTACTATATAATTGTATTGCTAATTTCCATACTAAAAAACCATTGAAATCCACTGGTTACCAAAAGAATTGAATTGCTAGTAATCCTTTAGTCGCCCGTTAATTACCTTGGTTTTCTATTGCCTAATTGCATCGCTATGTTCCACCCACAGAAGCGCTTAGTTGCAGCCATTAACTGTTGACGCAAAGATTACTAACTTTCTCAGAGCTTTGGCCAAAAAAAAAAAAGTTCATTGTCTCAGTAAACATCAAGCTTTTGAGCCACACCAGTGTAAGCAATTGAAAAGTATAATTCTTTTTACTTTCGTCATGTAATTAATTTTGCCCGAAGGACGCCCTGTAAGTCAAAGAATGCATAACTCTAATTACCTTTAAAAGAACCGTTTTAGAATCTGTGCATACAGGGTGTCAATATTTTGGCTCAGCTAGAGCATTACATTCTCAGACGCATTTAACGACGACTAAATTAACGAGTATTGTTTTTTGTTTAAAGATCCATGTGAGTAAAGACCTTTAAAATAACTGAAGAAAATGTGTAATTCAGTTTTTGGCTAGAAGGACCGTCGCACAAGTTTTTATATAAGACTGTTTTTATATATTAGTTATTATTAATACATGAACAACTTTGTTTAGAAACTGAAGGCCGT